GTTATAGTTTGATTTGTATTTTGTAATCTGCAATTTGTGATTTAGTATGTTGGCATCTAGCCAATTAAAGTTTATTTATCAGACCGGCAAACCATGTCATTACCTGCTATATTAATGTGTATGGATTGCACTGCATTCAGTATGTGATGACTGCAGCTGGACTATCTGCCATTCTTTCATCAGACCTACACTTTATTATGATAGTCTAATAAACTAATGAGATAAGAGTTTTATGACAGCAATTGTCATAAAAGGCAGGCAAGAAAATAAATGTGACTAAACTGGTTAGCAAAAGGACAATGCGGGAGGACAAAAGATGACTGAGAATCATGCTGGACTAGGATCTGGAACTGCTGAAGGCTTGTTTGTTCCCACTCTACTTGGGCCGAAGAATAGTAGAGCTGCCTGAATACCGTAAAGTAGTAGAGAAAGGAAATGGTAATCTGCACCAAAGGTCCATATTCTGGAAGAAGATTGAGGATAATCGGGTGAAATCCAGTAGGTTCTGACAGGTTTTGGACCTGTACCTGTTTCCGGTAGCGGAAAGTTTGAAAGAGAACCGGCAGTGGAAATTTTGAGTAGTTCGGAGAACCAGCAAATACCATCTCTGGCTGGCCCCAGAGTGGGGCGGGAATGGGGATTTTGCAATATCCTTCCCCCAGGAGTGAGGAGGGAATGGGGATTTTGCAGTATCCTTCCCCTGGAGTGGGGTGGGAATGGAGATTTTAGAGTATCCTTCCCCTGCCACGCTCACCAAGCCACACCCACAGAACCTGTAGTAAAAAAAAATTGGATTTCACCACTGAGGATAATGGTCTGCCATTCTGAGATATTGCCAACCAAGTGTAATTAATGTCTTAACTCTACAGGAGATAGAAAGGAGAGTTAGAAATAGTTGTCTGCTATAGAGTCATAATGGTGACTTTGGAGGAAAAGGATTAAATTGGCAATACTGGTACAGATAGCAATAAATCACTCCTGGATTCCTATTCCTTTATGGCTGAAACAGAAGAGTGGATGAGGGAAAATACTGGTTTAACTGTCTGATTATACTATTTGTTTGTTTGTTTGCTTGTATGTTTGTTTATTTAATTCTGCCTTTATTATGGCAAACATATAATTAATCATTCGTACTTAAAGACCAAACCAACATGTTCCTTTCTCTGTGTGATTCAACTAGGTGGTTTTGGGCCAGTCACTCTCTCTTAGCCCAACCCACCTCAGAGGGTTATCTGAGCGCCTGGCCCCCAAAAAAGCAGGAGGCAGGACTATTAGCTATGTTTGCTGTCTTAAATTATTTATCCTGTTTTTATTATTTATAAAAAATATAAGGCAGGATAAAACAATAATACTTTTTTAAAAATCCAAATCTGACTCAGTTTGCTGGTTTGCATAATGTATTTAACCTCAGCAGCGTATGGAAAAGTAACAAATTATGATTTTTGGTAGCAAAGAAGGAAGAATTTACGTTTTATCTCTACAATAGTAGCCAAGCAGCACAATCTACTGATAAATTCTACTGGAAACCTACAGCAATGTGTGAGAACCACCCAGAAGCAAAATTATCTCTTCAGGCATAGTTTATTTACTTAATAATTTCCATATATTTCAGCAGGGTTTTCTCCGGTTAATAATTTCCTCAGCACATTTTTCATAGAAGTATTTCGCCATTAATATTGGCTTTTTATACAGCAAAGAAAAAGTATTTCTGACCCTTCGTGTTCAAGCAACACTGACGCAGTTACATTGCTTCATCATATAATGCACTGGAGGGGGGGATTTCTTTTGTGGGTGAGCTGGAGCAGGAAACAAAATCATTTCAGTGAAGCACTAATAGATGGTCATTCGATTGTTAGGGAGAAAAGCCACATTATTAGCTAATAGTACAAAAGTACTCCTCCAGAAAATGGACAACCAAATAACTATTACATAATTTTCCAAATACCTGTTTTGGACATAAGCAAAAAGATAGTTCAGCATTATATGCATGAGCAACAGTAAATTTTTAGAACAAGTTTTTGGAACTTTGATAAGAGAAAAATATGTTCTCAAGCCTTTCCTTGAACTGGCAAGGAAGCTACTCATGATCTTCACATAGTCTGAAGTAATTATAATTATTTGGAAGAAGTCATCCAAGGTTTGCTGCTGTTTTAGAGTCCAAACTTAGATACATTGCCAAATATAATTTCCCTTTTTAAAAAATCTGCACATCTTTTTTTTACTTTGAATAAAAATTTAAACAACTTATAAATTAAGCACAGCTGTACTAGGAATAGAGCCTCTTACGTGATCAGAACATTCAGAAAAATATAGTCCCTTAGTGAACTGGTATGTTCACAATTTGGTTCTGAACAATATATTTTTCTTCCAGGAAACCTGGTGAAACCAGTGAAAAATTAAAACAATTGAAAATAAAAATACAGTTTAAAAAAATCAGTGTATTGTTTGCGCTATTGAAATTATTACAAAGCATATGTGCAGGAAAGCAACTCTTTAAAATACATGTTCAGCAAATGACAGAATTACATCTGTTGCTACTATGATTTGTTTTGATTTTTACTCCTATAAATAAATGTTCCCCAAATATGTGTGCAAGTGCAATCACAACTATCATCTCAAATCCCAGGACAGGTGCAATCAGCTTTTAAAAAAACTAAACCTTACTGAGCTTCTGTTGAAATTTGGACCACATACATTATTTTGAATATGCATTGAGAAATCAGATTTAGCGTAGCTAGTTAGTGTTCCTTAATCTTATGTGATCTTATCCATAGTGGTAATCTTAAAAATGTTCATAATATAGTAAAGTATGAAGTAATTCATGTATTGGAATACCTAAGAGATAAACTATTCCTATATATAAAAGAGCTGTAAAAGAGCTAGTTTGGTTTACTGGTAAAGTTTCGAAAAGTGAAGTCTAGCCACACCTTAGGAACAGAGCCAACTGGGTGAGTTGGCTTCACTTATTGGCCACATAGTCCCAGAGGTGCTTTTCAAAAGGCTAATGGTGGAAAGAATATAAATATAAGAATATAAATCCTTCCATTCCCCACCATTCAGTCAGAACCTAAGAAGCTTGTTGGATGAGAAGCAAAATGTTTTCAAGGAAAGAAAGTCCAGTTGCCTTTTGAAAAAAATCTTTGGGACAAACATGACCTGGTTGATTGAGAATCTCCAGATACATTATTGACCACATGATTAATAACCACAGTGATTCACTTAATGACCACGATAAAAATGATCATAAAAGTCATGTGATGACTGCTTTATAACTGCACCAATTTAGAATGAATATTCTGGTCCAATTGTGGTCTTAAGTCCAGGACTACCTGTATGTTTTAATATAATGCCTGCAGGTAGACATCGGGTAATTGGGATGAAGAAGTCCATCACTAACCAACACGGTTATAAAATGTGTCACCTGGCATTTCCATTTGAGGTCATTAGGCAAATCCTGTTTTTATTATGATGTCACATGATCACCATGTGAGACCTCCTGCTGGTTTCCCCATTGACTTTGCTTGCCAGAAACCAACAATAAGTTGCAAATGGCAATCACATGACTGCAGGACACATCATGTAGTCGTGATTGCATGTAGCGTCATAATTGCAAGCTAGTTGCCAAGCAATAGTACTTAAACTTATATACTGCTTCACAGTGCTTTATAGCCCTCTCTAAGGAGTTTAGAGAGTCAGCATATTGCTCCCAACAATCTGGCTCCTCATTTTAGTGAAAGATGGAAGACTGAGTCAACTTGAGCCTGTCAGGATCAAACTCCAGACTCTGGGCAGAGTTAGCCTGCATTCTAACCACTGCATTCCCAGGCCAAGGACCCGTATTGTGATCACGTGACCCCCAGAGATGCCACGACAGGTGCAACTTTGAGGACCGACTGTAAGTTGCCTCATTCAGAACTGTCACAACCTAAAACTGTTGCTGAATGAGTGGCTGTTAATCAAGGACTATCTGTATGTAGAACATATGTCACTGAATACAGCACATCTAGTTTTTTAATACGCTACCTTTTTCAAGGTCAAACCACTAGTCAATTTAATGGCTGTGGCTGCTACTTGAGGCATTAGATAGAGGTTTTGCCATTCTGCTTCCTGAGGTCTTTAACTGGGAAGACTGGGGACTAAGCTAGGAACTTATATACTCTCTTATTAAGCCATCCTTATTACTAGCCTGGGTATATTTTTTCTTGAATTTCAGATGCATGTCTTTTCCTATGCTGAAAAAAGAAGAGGAATGATATAAAATAAGCATAATAAAATTATGTTAGAGTTGCTAAACTGACCTGTAAGTGTGGATTTTTTTTCTGCTGACTTCTTATTGAGCTATCATTATGCAGCAGTGGGCTGCTGTGAGACTATTAAGGAAATGAGCCTGGAATAGATAATGAAAAGATAATGGCCTCTTTTTGAGTAAATATTTTCAAGTATGTCATTAAGTTACATGCATACTATCCATAATGGCCAATATCCAAATAATTATTTTATGTGTGCCTGACTTCTTGTGCCTAAAATAACTTTTTAAAAAATCTGTAAAGTTGAGCATTAAACTTGACATGCCATCTATGTTGTTTCAAAAAGCTGTTTTTGAAAATTATCTCTATTTTAAGAACAGGCTGCCTAGAGTGTAAGTGGGTATGTTCAAGAAGTATAAGCACAAAGTTCTCTTAAGCAGGCGTAATAGCTGTGTTTGGTTTAGATTCTAGTTAAGATCTCCAGGCAATCAATTCCCTGGCCTGGAAGTAAGAAAGGGGGAAAGTATAAAGCAAAGCCAATAAGGAATTATTCCCCCTGAATCAGACCCAGGGTTCGGAATGTAAGATTATTCCATAAAAAAAATTTTTTGAGAGAGTAGCTGATGCTTTCCTGGTCCCACAAGCATTTTTACTTGTTTTTCTTTCATTTTTAGAAAACAGAACAGTAGAAGCTAACTTTTCCCAGTTTCTCTAGTGTCTTAGCTAAACAGCGTTGCCATTACAGTGAAAATCTTCACAGTTTTTAAAGCTTTTAATCACACTTTAGAAAAAGTTTGGAAAGGAAGACCAAAGTATCTAAACACTCATGAGCAAAATAAAATAAAATAATTCTATGGAATCCACTGATAATTCAAAGCTCAGGTGTCTTTAAACCGCAAGAAGTATTGTCCAGTTATTGTAATATGAGCCATTGTAACATGTTTTAATACTAATTTCAGGTTGGATTGTTAGAAGAATTGACTCCTGAGAAAAAAAAAGTTTGGGCAGAAAAGGGTCCATTTTCAGCTGCTGCTGTGGTAGTTTTAAAAAGAAAGCAATGCCAGTCTAGGTTTAGAAGGGATATTGTGATACATAAATCCTCAGTCGAATGACAGAACTTCCTCTGAAATTGATGACAGTGTTAACAGTGACCATCTCCAGGTCCAACACCATGTCACGCGGCCCCTTCAGAGGACGGGTCATCACAAGAGTGGCACTGATAGGTCCAGTTTGCTGCATGGAGAAAGCCAAGGAAAAATGTTGAAGTACTTCAAGCATAGGATGTGGCCAAAAGCTGTCTTCTTAAATATATGTAACAAAATCATGACTTTGTTATGGAAGATTTATTTTTGTTGGTGTCTCAAGGCTGTGACCAGAATCACTATAAAGAACACTTATAGCAGATCTGTGCCAAACCAGAGTGTGGTGTTGGTGCTGAGCTAGAATGTATTGGTTGGGGGAGAGGCTGAGGTCTGCATCTGAACTGAGTCCTGCACCAACAGTTTGCACTGAAACCAAGTTGTCATTTCACTTCTATGGATCTAGTGTTGGATAAATACTGTGTGAATGCAAAGAGCTATTGCCCACTGACTGCTGCTTTTTCTGGTTCCTTTTTTTGATTGACTTTATTTATTGACTGCTACTAATGTTCTGCAAGAGTTGGAGTAGCAAATAGGATGGATATTGTGCAGAAGGAACAGATTGGGGAAATAGCTCAAAAGAAAAGAAGCCGAGGTCAAAAAACATAGGAAGGGAGGATCATATTTATTTAATAACTGATTATTTAAACAACTGATTTTTCACCTGATTTGGTTCACAGTAGCTGCAAACAAACTTGAAACAATAGAGCCAATCTTGGCTTCTAGAGATTGTATAAATTTCAAAGAAATAGGTGTCTGAATTGTTCCCCTTGCTTCTTCCTTCTTTCCACTGATGGAAGTGTTTGAGAAGGTGGAAATTGCTTTGTCAAATGCCACTTAAAATTGCATCCCCATCTAGCCTTCATAATCTTCTTGGAGAGAAGACTTTAATTCACTGTGCCAAGTTCTGGAGTGAATTAAAGCTCTCTCTTCTGCCTCATTGCCTATTCTACAGTGCTCAAAAATAAAATGATTATATTGAGTAAGGTGGGAATTCCATCTAATTAACACCATTTTTCCAGTTAGCATATATAGCCCCCAGAAAAAGTCACAAACAGGTTGTTGTGGAGATAACATCCATGTGATCTCCAGTACTTGCTAAGTAAAGACAACACTGCCTGTGAATGTCTGAAACTGTCTTTTTCTTTATCTCAGGTAATGGCACTCACCTAGTGTTCTTTATAATATGAATATTTTTGTGATTTTATTGTTTAAACAGTAACCTTAAAATAATACATATTATTTTGAAAAGAAGACAATGAAAGGGTCTATTCGTAAATCTCGCTCACCCGCATATAGAATTCTCTGCCTTCATTTCCTGATTTAATCTGAAAGATGTAATAAGCACCAGGGTAGCGAGAGGTTGCCTGCATCTGAAATACATCGGCGGGCACAGTACGTCCTGATACATCCATGTCTCTGTACAAGATGGTGAATGGCTGGTCTCTACAGCTAGGGTTTTCAGTTGGACATATACAGTGACTGGTAGAACAAAAAGAAAAATACTATTATTATTGACTATGATTCCATAGCTAGCCAAATGTTTAGATTGCACTTGACATTTTTGTCCATCTATCAACCTGCTGATTTGTTTTAATATGATTTTAATAAAGCTTAACAAATTTATCATGGTGCATTATGGTGAACTGTTATGTTAGCTATAATTTCATACCTGTTATTATTTTTGCTGTTATAATCAAATTAATATAAGCCAATAAGAATGCTACTTTCTTTATTGCTGAACAGCAAACACATGAGTGCTATTTTTATGCTGAGATAGTTAAATCTTAATGTATCTGTTTGGATGTTTTAATATTTTATTTTGTATTTTATTGATCTACACATTTTGCAAACGGCCCAAAGATTTGTTGTTGTTGTTGGTTGTTGTTATTAGAGTATTGTGTTACATTATCCAGGAGACCACAATGCTATTGCAGAGTAATAGTTTGGCTACCAATTTACCAGCTCTGTTGTGAGACATGCTTGTGCGCTTCCCATGATGCACCACAAGAAGGCGAGCTGGCTTCATACCAGAAAGAAAGACAAACAGCTTCTGAGCATCACTTAAGGCTCCCTCCCCTCTCTTGCAAACGGCTCACAACCAGAAAGATTCAGAATCTGACTGGCTGCACAAAGCACCAACTCATTTCTCCACAGAAGTGGTACCTATTTATCTACTCACATATAACATGCTTTCAAACTGCTAGGTGGACAGAAGCTGAGGCAAGTGATGGAAGTTCACCCCGCCACAAAGTGCTAGTACTTGAACCGCTAAAGCAAAGCGTCATTAAGCTACTAAACTACCGTGCCTCTCAAAGGCTTGGTCAGTGGATGATGTGAAAATATAAAGAATATGAAGAGTAAAATATTTCAGAACATAAAAGAATAGTTTTCATTTCAAAAATAAGATGACGATCCTTGTTATAATGTAATATACATGATAGAAAAAAATGAAAGTAAAAAAGCATATCAGGTTTATTCCATAATTTTTTAAATTTGGTACGCATAAATTATTTGAGCATAAATTATTGTCAAAATATTTATAGTTTGAATTCATAAATCTAAATTCAGGCATGGCATAAATCATTTTTAAAATGTTATTTTCCATTTCTTTTGTTTCTCTGGGTGTTTAATTATGTATTTGACATTGCACTTTTAACACTGAAAAGAGATCAGAGATGACAGAAGGGCCTTTAACGGAGGATGGGTGATAAGCAATGTATTACTAACATACTTATGACATATCTATAATTAAAAACTCAATTTTAAAGACAACTGTATATATTACAGGAGAACATGATTATGATAAATGCTCTTATTATTTCATAAGCACTTCTACTTCAAGAAGTGTAAACAGTTGAGTATTCTGCCATCTGGTGACCCGATAAAGAACTATTTTATAAGGTTTTTATCATTGAACATTTCCATTCGGAGAGGATAAAACTTGAAGGAATGAGTTTAGGACAAAACTATGGAAAATTGCAAACCGTGCTAACAAGTATTTCGTATATTTGAAAATGCTAGTTTAGAAAGACATGCATATCATAAAAACTACATTTTTAGCTATTGGCTATTTCATATGTTACACAGCTAGAAACTGGATTTGAAAATGACTATGCACTCAACAAGTGGCAATCCAACTCTTGATACCTTTAGGAAATAAATATTTTCAGTCATTGGTCAATTTCATATTAAGTTCATCTCTCAAAAATAATGGGAGAATGCATTCTAAAATCAAGATTGAACAGGGCTAGCATCCGAAAATAGCAAGTGCAATTTGAAAAGTAACTAAGCACTATATAATGTGCTTCTTGGAGAATATGATTTCCCTAATTTTTTCTATTAATAAATTACTCACTTTTCATTGATCCGGATATAAGGATCCTCGCATCTTACTGGGTCTAGGCACTTGAATCCTCCTTGGACATTAAAACATGTTTGCTGCACATTACAAGTGTGATTCCCAACCTCACATTCATTAACATCTAAAATGAAGAAAAAAACCAGAAAATATGGCATTGTAATAAATGAGTTAGTACACATTGTTCGTTCATAATAAAAACAAATTTTTTTTAAAAACCTTGTAGGTCTGAGCCCATAGGATGAAAGACTGGGGTCTCCCACTTCTGGGTCTACATATTCTCGCCCTGCCTTCCTGGCTTTGAATAGCAGCCTGGTGGTTTGGGCTGCCAGTTCATACCCTGCAGTGCTTTACTTGGCAATCTCCCTTTAACACCTTCATTCTTTAAGACTGCACCCATTCAGTATTGGAAATAAACAACTATAATGCAACATTCAGATCACAATGATTTATTTGCTTATTCTTTGCATTGAGCAAGACTATAAATTGCAGTAGAAAAGTTGTAAGATTCCTGGTTAAAACATATCTATGAAATAAAACAGAGTCTTGAAAATAGGTCTTTCCCTACTTCACGTGGATTATCCCTTTTCCTGGAAACCAATAAATTAATTCCATGGGAAACTGTAGAATCTCACTGATTTCTGGCTTGGTCTAGAAACTTCTCTTGAATAAGTTTCCTTCCATGATGTCCCAAATTTCCAAAAAGCCTCAAATTTCATGAATCCAGCAAAGAGGTAGCAACTAATGTAATTCCTTTGTATATGATACAAAGTCTGGCTGAATCTTATAGTTTGTAGTCTGAATGTCTGCCATAAAGACTGGGATGTTTTAAGTGACTAAGGTTTGAGGCTGCAATTTGCAACAGTCCTATCTGATAGTCCCCTTCCATAATATGACATTTAGCAATAGCACTTAGACTTATATACCACTTCACAGTGCTTTTACAGCCATCTCTAAGCAGTTTACAGAGTCAGCATATTGCCCTCAAACAATCTGGGTCCTCATTTTACCGACCTCGGAAGGATGGAAGGCTGAGTCAACCTTGAGACAGTGAGATTCGAACTGCCAAATTGCAGTCAGCTGGCAGTCAGCAGAAGTAGCTGCAGTACTGCATTCTAACCATTGCACTACTGTGGCTCTTTAGTATATTTAAGAGAGTCTTTTCCAAACCATTGCCCAATGTTCGGTGGTCTTGGGGTATATTGGATTTTAATTCCTGCTTTCAGTTAGCAATGATAGCAATATCATCTGATATAAATCTAAAACAACTGTGGACAGTAACAGATAGGGATGCTGGAAATGGACCATGAAAATCTGGATTTGAATCTCATCACTACAAAGCTTACTGGGCATCCTTAGGGAGTTTATGTACCCACAACTTCATCCATCTGATGTGACTATTGGGAGACTAAAATGAAATTACGCATTGAAGTCTAGAGATCTTCAAAGGGCTGTGAGATGTGATGAGGAAATATAAAACAGGTTTCCATTATGCATAAAATTGGACAGTGAAGCTTTCTGATGTGTGAGAACAATAATTGAATAATGATCAGAACAGCAGATTTTATAATAGAGGAAATGAGATTTATTAATAGGAAGATTTAAAAAATGCTTTCTCTGAGTTTGTTTAAAAAGTAAGGCAGAAGAGAGATCTCAGATTAACACTTAACTGCATTCATGTATGCGGAAAGCGGAAGCTGGCCCTGAGACCTGACCAGATGCAAGGCATTGCGAGATGAGGCAAGGTGAGACCGGCGGAGGAGCCTGGAAGAACCAGCAACCTGAACCCTGCTAGCTAATTGGTGTAAAGATAGTTCATCCCTGTGGTGCACCAAGGATAGGCGCACAAGCGCCGATTGGAATGAACTAGCAATCTAGGCTGTCAGGACTGCATTGTGTCTAGTATGTGTAGACTTCCCTGACATACACTAAATAAATAAAGCAATCTCTTAAATAAGGAGCTAGAAGAGGGATAAAGACAGAAGATAGACTTTAACTTTTTATCTACTACCTGTTGCCCACTTGTGGTCAGTAGGACATGTGCCATTGGATTTGAACCTTCAATACAAAAGGCACTGAGTGATCACAGCTTTACTTCAGATTTTGAGAAGGATTAGATTTCTAAAGAGGTTACTTAACATTGGTTACAAAAACCACATAACTTCTTTCACCTCTCCATTTCTGATAATTTTTCACATACTGTACAGTAGTATATTTTTAAAAAATCATCACTGTATCTCTTGTCTTTAGCAAACTAAAACAAAAATACTTGTTTTCTTGCTAATTGCCATTAATAGGCATTGGGAACTAATAATTGAAATATGTTTAGTGGATTTTATAGCCCAAGTAGATCTAGGATCAGCCTTCTCCACAATATTCATCTGTGCAGAACAAACACTTTGTATAAATGAAATATGCTTCACAGAAAAGAGAACATGTCACAAATGACTGGAAGAATGAAACCTTAAGAGACCCAAGTGGAACTTGCTTGCTATTGGGGAAAACGATAGCATAATTTGTGAAATATCTGGGTAATCTCATCTACTACACAGTCTTGAAATGTATTTTCCAGTTTGTAAGCCAGTATATTTTTGGCAAAAGGAAATAATGTTTGGCTGATTATTATATGTTGGAATGCACCAGACGAGAGGGATATATTCATAATTGCTACCTGTACTATAGAAACTGATGAGGCCAATCTTATATGTAGAAATACTAAACATAAGGAGCAAACTCACTAACCCACTTGGAAATCTCTACAGACTGTACTAGTTTTTTAACTCTATGGGCTTTTTGTCACAGTTTCTAGGAAGATACTTTAAAAGAAGGGTTGAAAGCATCAATTGGATATGATTTTACTATAAAGTGAAGCACTTAGGAGAGAAGACTGTCAGACATCAATAAAGGATCCTTACTTTCGTAATTTGACCATTAATGAGTAAATTGTATAATTTATTATGCCTCCTCATATGTTTGCAGCCTCTTTCAACCAGTCTGTCAATATGATCAGTTGAGTTTATGGAGACCTGCAGTAGTTAAACTCTCATGGTTGGTTGATCCTTGTGAGGCGAGCTTACTCGAGTTCATTCTATGTTATTGCGTATTATGAATATAAGTTCATAATATAGTACTAAGATAGGCTAGGGTTTAGATCTGCCTATCTTGGATATCTTAGGGAAAATCATATGGATATAACTTTGGCAGATATGTATGTTTATATATTTTTTTATTTTTCCAGTTTGTAGGGGTAAATAGGGAGTGGGGACAGATGAGGGTAATTTCTTGCTCAGTTGATCTTTCCCCTTTCTAGATGGGTTTTATCATAAATTAAAAACTTGCCTGTTTACCCAAGCCTTCTATTGGTTTCTGTATTTTTTTTATTACATGCCTAATTACTGTTGTTATTATTTTTATTAATTTGTTTTTGGTGTTTTAATCATTTCAGAGTTTTTGTGTTTCTATTGTAATTTTCACCTCTTTTTTGCTAATTTCTTCAAACTTTTAAATGAAAAGTGGTACAGAAATACAGCAAATAATTTTATTAAAAATGAGCATTTAGTAAACACAGCTTTCACTTAAAAATGTTATTTATATCCCAAGGCAGCATGCATAGCACTTACCCTATGTTTCCCATAATATTTTATTTTTTATTTTATTGATCAAATTTCTACACCGTCTCTTGTGTAGATAATAAATCCTGTGAGGTAGGTTTGGCTGAAAGAGGGTGACTGCCCCTCCACTATCTTGATAGGTACACTACATCTTTCAAGCTACAGTAAAACTGTTGTGGTCCGCTAGCAGCCTGCAGAGCTGGCAGCAGAGTTAGACAGTGAGGAAGCTGGGGAGGAACATGGGCCAGTCCTGGAGTCTGGGGAAGGCCCAGATGAGGGCTCTGCATCGGAGGCAGAGATGAGACCACGGCGATCTGGGAATGATGCGCGGACTCCGGAGCCTCCAGAGTCGGACAGCAGAGAGACAGAGGAACAGGAGGAGCCTGTTCCTAGTACGCTCATGCGCAGAGCTGCCAGAAGGCATGAACAGTTAAAACAAAAGGGACGACTTGGGAGTAAGGCCTGGAGATGATTGGCCCCTTCCATAAGGCTTAAAAGAGGAGCAAAGGCACGTGGGCACTTTGCAGGAAAGCAACGTTGTTAATTCTGTTCACAGTCAGCAACTCTGTTTGATTCTGGAATCCGTGTGGCTTTGCCAAGTAGGTCTTTGGCAGAGGGTCAAGGGAGTTAAAGGTTGGTGGTTATCCCAAAGGACTTCTCCAGAAGGACTTTTTGCAACTAATTGGGACTTAGCTGTGAATGTACGTAATTGACAGCTGTTGCAATAAAAGAGGTTTTTGGGACTACTCGTTTGTTTTAATGACTCAGGAAGCCTAGGTCACAACAAAAACTCGGGTTTACCCATTGCTAGCCCAATACTTTAATTACTGTACAAGACTGACTCTCATTTAACATTACCAGAGGTCAGGAGAGTCCACATGCTATGGTTAAAAAAAAAAAAATCAAGATGATGGTCACAATGATTTAATCAAAGCCTGCACATAAAAAAATAAAAATAACAAAAACAGATGGAACTTTGATTATACCATAGTGGCTGATATCTTGATCTTTTAACCATAGTCTGTGGATACCTCTGATAGAAACTGAGTTTTACCTACAAGTCTTATACTCTCCTTTCTCAGTTTGGGTATAAATGTATGAACAATTGGTTGTCTATAAATCTACTTATTTGTATTTCATTAGCTACACCAATTGCATTGCTTTTTGGACAACAAGCTTACTGATCTTGGCCTCTTCCTAAATAAGAAATAGAAAATTTATGAACTACTGGTGTGGTATACCCACACGAAGGCTATGTACTGAATAATCTTATATTTATACCCATCTTAAACTCAGCAAACAAACAAAAAAGGGTAAGGAAACTACTGAAAAGGAAATTGTGTTATAACAGCTTAGTTCTGCCAAGTAAGTCAATCAACAGTTCTTTTGAAATATGCTCCCTGGATGCATAAAGAAAAGTTTTGCAGTCACAAAATACTTTCAGAATGTTTAAAAAGTCCTCTGTTATTCATAGCTAGTAAATAAGAATGCAATTAGTATAGAATCAGTTTTCTCCATAAAAGCCTTCCCAATTGCAAAATATGATGCAATATACAAAATACAACATGTGTAGAAAAGTATAACAGCATTAGGTGATCTTTAGCTGCTCTGGAAAATAGTTGGTTAGCCAGAAAAGCCATTAACATTTCTCATTTACTTATGCTTCAATGATATTGTGTAATAGCTTTCAATACTATCTTTTTGTAATGAAGTTTGCAAAATCGGATTCCCTTAGCATTACTACTCTTTCTATTTTTTCCAGAAGAGTAACTACTGACTCATTTGCTCTCTAATTATATTTAAAAGACAAAATGTATGCAATGTTCTTACCCTGACACCGAGTATCCTCAACAAGAACGTAGCCAGACGGGCAGAAACAGTAGTAACTACCTGGCTGATTAACACATTCATGCTGGCATAGAAATTCTGAGAAGCTGCATTCATCCATATCTATAAATATAAGAATATGAAAAAAAGGATGCTCATTCTTAATAGAAATGCTATTACTTGTTATCTAAAATTGCTATTTTAGATTCGCAAGTGACCTAGTAGCAAAGGTAAGTGAAACCTACCCCTGAACTTAATTTTCAGCAAATCTGGAGTATACTGCGGCACATTGGAAAAGACACAAAAATCTTGTGAACATAAATAATTCAATGTAGTTTCTGCAAAGGGCTACTCAAGTAAAGAATTTCACAATGTTGCGCAGATTATGCAATCTTCACAAAGTTTGATGGAATCCAGATGCAAATATGTGTTACTTGATATATTTAGGGAAAAGAGGCCAAAAACATTTTAATGCATAATTCAAGTGGGAAAAAGACAATAACAGTTTAAGTCACTGATATCTTTTGACAATAATAGGGGAGAGGAAATTAAGACAGTCAATTGCATTTTCTTTCATTTTTGGGCTCCTGGAATTAAATCTGACTAGCATAAATTTATTTTCTGGTAATAAAGAAAAGGAAGCTCTCCAGCCTGAAGATGCCATACCTAAAACCATTGTTGACAGCCTGATTCAATTCTCTTGTGGACCATAATCAACCACACTGATATAGATTTTGTTTTACCTGCCACTCTAAGTTTGAGAAAGAATGGCATTTATATGTTCCAATTCCTAAATTTATGAATGAAAATGGGGTGAAGGCAAAGACATTTAAGAGTGCTAAATAAAAGAACATTGTTTTAAATCTTTGAGCAAGTTCTACATTATTCTTTTAAATAAAAAGTAATACGAGCATTGAGGTTTGGCACATAGATATAGTAATCCTTGGACTGTATAACTAATGAAACCAGATTCTGGAAAAGGGAATGTAAATGATATATTTATGTTCATTATTTGCCCCAATAAGTAAATAAGCAGCCCTACCCTGGAGTGATGTGTCAAAAACAAGCGTTTAGAATGAGTTGTGCTAATTCTTAATCCAGTGCAACATCATGGGAAAAATGCTAATATAGGAAGATAAAGAAAAGTCAGCTGTCCTTCTTTAGGTCTGGATCTTGAAGTGGTTTAAAATAACTTTCTACACATGCTCTTCTGGCTTCCAAGAGGCAAAATTAACAGTTACTTATATTAAATTGGAAGAAAGAGAATTCCCACCCTGCCTCAATACTCATTTTTTGCATTGCTTGAGTAGACATTTTCATTTAAATAGGCACAATGGATTTTTCAGGATATCAGTTTCATACTAAACCAAATGCTTCATGTGAAAACCAAAACAACATAATTTCCCAAATATAGTTATATAATTTTTGCTGCTATTGTGGGTTTGAATTAATTGACTCAAGTGGTCATTTTTAGAAGTTTTTGTGGCAAGAACACAGGCTGATGCATTTCAGTTTCACTGCTGAAAACCAAGCAATCTGTAACTGAGAGTGTTTCTGCAACAAAATACACATGGCTATAATCCTGGGCATAAGATTAATGTATTTACTATGGCATAGAGTTTCATGAATTGGAATCCACTTCATCAGTTATGCAAGATGTTATCTGATTCCCCAAACTGGGGATGAACACAAAGCCAGAAATATGAAATACAAATAAAAATTGAGTATGAATTTTTTTTAAAAAATTGGGTTATACCAACCAGGGAAGGAGATTATTGGAGGTGCATCTCTCTTTGTGCTTATACATTTTTCTTATTCCTCCCTAATCCCCACCACCACCAGAGGGATAGAGTTAATAAATCAATATGCTGATATAAAGGAGAGGGCCAGTTCTGAATGTCCCTGATGTATAGTGCCACAGATCCAAGGTCAGTATTGTTTGTTGTGCTCCCCAGACAAATGGTCAGAGTCAGTGGTGGGTTTCAAATTTTTTTACTACCGGTTCTGTGAGCGTGGCTTGGTGGGTGTGGCAAGGCTTGGTGGGTGTGGCAGGGGAAGATACTGTAAAATCTCCATTCCCTCCCCACTCCAGGGGAAGGTTACTGCAAAATCCCCATTTCCTCCTGATCAGCTGTGTATGTTCAGAAGTGATTTGCCAATGCCTTCTAGCCTAGGGCTAAGAGAAAATGACTGGCCCAAGGTCACTTAGCTGGATAGGAATTCATAGCTTTCCAATTTCAAGCCCAGTGCCTTTAACCACTACACCAAATTGCCCCCCTATTATTAGATACAGATATATTTTCCGTTTGATTCAATTCTCAATTGAGAATTGAGGATTTCTTTCAGAATACATTCTTCTCCAAAGCTTGGTTTCCTTTTTCTAACATTAGATTGTACTGTACTGTGGAATTATTTGAAATGATTGAACAGCGAATATATGCCCGTGATCAAGTTACTAATTGTTTCCTAATTATTGCAAGAATATTCTCAATATTATAAGAATTAATTTTCTTATTTATGTCACATTTTCAGAATTCCTATCTTCAATGTTAAGTGAGAAAACATGTTTATTCCCCTCCTCCAAAAAAGGTTTATTTCCTCCCAAAGTTAAGATACTCCACAATAATTTCTACTTACCAGTACAGCTGATACCATCTGTCTCCAATTCATAGCCAGGATCACAACGACAAAGGAATGAGCCATAGGTGTTGATACAGTTTTGTACACAAGGGTTGCTACCTGTACATTCATTCACATCTGTGGATAGCCAGTTCTTAGAAAATTAATAATCTTTCTCAAGCTTTAATTAATATTTACAGCTTTGAAAAAATATCTACAATAAATACTGCAATCCAAGCTTACTTTTAGATATTTAAAATAATAATATAACTACTTCCCACCCTCAAAATCCTAAAACTAGGATCCCTCTTTATTTCTATTTGCTCTGCTCCAAAGTAATCACATACAGTACTCCAATCTTCATACAGGAGATCTGAAGTTTGTGTTTCTTATCTGCTATTAGTCCACAGATGAGTATCTTCAGCAATATAGCAAACTTGGATCCCATTGGTTGGCCTTCTAGATCACCTGTTGGTTAGCCAAATGTAACCAACTTTGATCAAAAGTAACCAACTTTTGATAAAGATTTGTGTGTGTGGGTGTGTGTGTTTGTATGTGTGTATGTATGTGTGTGTGTGTGTAAATCATGGTTACAATCTGGCACATGTGTATCAGTTGTTTACTCTCTCTTCTTAAGAGATCGTGCTCTTTTTCTTTCTTTCATTTAGGGACAGATATTTCAAAAAGTCAGTTTAGGATAAACATTGATTGGGGTAAAATAAAAATTTTCCAATTTCTCAACATTAACAACATGGATGCCTAAACATTGGAAACTAATACAAGCATTGAAACATGAATGAATACAAATGCATTGTATTGCCCCAAGTACAATAAATCATCCATTAATGTGGTTTTAAGTATTATACATGCTATTAGAAGTTACTACTAAATATGTAGTACTGGACCCAGGGGGAATGCAGGCCAATCAGAAAATTCTTCCATTTATGAGCAGAAATCCTGTGATCATAGGTGGAAAAGGAGAAGTCTCACATATAATTCCTTCTGATTTCCATATATTTATTAGTTGCCATGGTTCATAACATTTATTACATAACCAGTTGGAAATATGAATTTTTCTCTCTTTAAGCCAAATACATTCCCCTGAAAAACTATTCTATGGCTCAAGACATAAAATGGAATTCTACCAATAAATATTCCCTTAGTGCTCATGACCAATGACCCATTTTTGAACTTGCTTAATAACCATTTTTTATACAGAATCCAATTTTTACTGGCGTAGAGAGTTTCTTTTTTCCAAAAGGAAAAAGCAGAGATAAAGAATAAATGTGGAACATGCAATCTCAGTATATAATTAAAAAGGTAGCAATAAATATACATGTTGAAGTGGCTTTCAGTGCCCATTAAACATTAGTTATATTATCTCTAGGCCTTTCCAGCCTGTAAGTGTGAATACATACATAAAAGTTGGAGTTTAATGCATTTAATTGTTCGTTTGTTATGAATGATTCTGTATTAATATAGCTAATTATAAAATGGTTACATTACTCTGATGACATATTTTCAAAAAGCGAAAGAGTAGAAAGTTGCTGGGATAAATATATTCATAATATTCTGTGAATACCGATAGAGGAGAATATTTGTAGCTCAGGGTTGAAATGAGGGCTCCTTGGTGGTTTCTGTTAGTATGGTAGTATGTTATATGAATGTTGACATGAATTCCTGCTTTTTCTCCCTCTTCCCTCCTCTACACAATACCTTGACACGATCTTCCATCTTCATTCAGTACAAATCCTGGGTTGCAGGTACAGGAATAGGAGCCAGGTACATTGGCACATAGTTGCTGACAGTATCCATAGCGACATTCATCTATGTCTAGTAAAAGAGTTGAATTAGAAGTGAAACCATTTGCCACATTGGGAAAAAATTAGAAGCCAATATCTCTTAATAATATTTATTAACAGACCTTAAATAACTATGGTGTAATCAATAATTATGTGGTTACGGCTATCAGATTGCATGCACAATTTTATTTCATCACATATTGCAATCTCCTTTCATTTAAAGTCTTGTTCAGCAGCTTACTAAGGGCAAGTGGCATCAACACTTGCCCTTGGTAGTACAGTGGTCTAAAGCACCCTGTTATTAAGACCAGCTGCCTGCAATTACTGCAGGTTTGAATCTCGCCAGGCTCAAGGCTGACTCAGCCTTCCATCCTTTCTAAGGTAGGTAAATTGAGGACCCAGTTGTGGGGGCAATAAGCTGACTTTGTATAAATATACAAAAGGATGAAGGCTATTGCTTAGCGCATTGTAAGCCGCCCTGAGTCTCCGGAGAAGGGCGGCATATAAATCAAATTAAAAAAAAAACTTTTCTTTCTTTCTTTCTTTCTTTCTTTCTTTCTTTCTTTCTTTCTTTCTTTCTTTCTTTCTTTCTTTCTTTCTTTTTGGTTCTCCTTCTCCGGAGACTCAGGGCGGCTTACAATGCGTTAAGCAATAGCTTTCATACTTTTGTATATACCTGCTTAGTAGGGCTTTTGGCCCACGCAAGCGGTGTTCTTTTTTATACAAAGTCAGCTTATTGCCCCCATAATCCGGGTCCTCGTTTTACCTACCTCAAAAGGATGGAAGGCTGAGTCAACCTTTATAACTGCACTCTATTTGTTTTTAGCCTAATTCAAACCATGCAAGCAGAGATCAAGCTGTTTGATATGTTCATTTGAAGCACAGACTAGTGGCTCAGTGGCTAAGACATTGAGCTTGTCGATTGGAAAGGTCAGCAGTTTGGTGGTTCGAATCCCTAGTACAGGTCTCCTGCATGAGCAGGGGGCTGGACGAGATGACCTGCAAGGTCCCTTCCAACTCTGTTACTGTTACAGATCATTTTTGGCCACACTGCAAATCCTCTGTCAGGAACTTTGACTGGCAATAAGCAAAATACCTATTTCAGCTTCTGATAAGCATAACACAGCTGGGCTGAGATATGAAGGGCCTGATTGCATGAACTGGTGATGAAAACCAAGACTTTTTGCTTCCCAAGGCAATGAAAATGGTGCTATCCTTCCATTTCTATGTACAAAGGTCAATTCGTTGGCAGTTGAATCTTATTTCATGCCAGATGACACAATGGAGGAACCAAATGGTAGACAGTTATTTTCATTCTGTTAAGTTTTTCTGAGGAAAGGACCACTGAAATGCCTAAATAGACTTAAAGGTATGTAGGGGAAGCCATTTTTGATCATCTCCATGAACTGCCAGATTGTAGACAGGACATTCTGGGAGTTGTACTCTAATCTACTAGTTAGAGGATAGCTGCTTTAGATAATTCAATCTACTCTGGTGAAGTTCATATAACACAGTTCATTAGGTGGTTGTGCTAATTGAACATCTGTGGTTGGTAAAGCATGGTTTAGTTCAATATGCAAATTCAAACAATTGTGGATTATTTAGCACAAATTTAATTGAACTATTTTTTTTAGTGGTTACAGATTGTTATAATGCTGTTGGCAAATATTCAAAATCAGGAAGAAAGGAATAACAGATGGATGGATGGAATTAATAGAGAAGTAATAGTAAGATGGGTGGCCAATAAATTTAATAACAAATAAAAAATAAATAACCAATAGATTATTTGGCATAACAGCTAGCAGTTTGATTGTTGTCCTCTTGGTGCACTTATGTTTTTTAAACATAGTTAATAACTTTGTTATCTGAGCTGATTGATAATTAAAAAATTGAATTGACATGTAGAGCAGAAATGCAGAAGCATTAGGCATATGACCAGGGCCACTTGTGAAGTTCCAATTAAATTGATTTAGTGCTCATGCCTATGCACAAGAATCTAGCCAATTAATGATTACCACTATTTTGGCACTAGTTAAGGTTTAATGGAATTCAAAAAGTGTTGGATTTAGTCTGCTTCTGGCAACCTAGAAGCTCTAGGCTTCTCTTTTGACCCTCCCCTCCCCCAGGCTCTGCCACCTCTTCTCCTACATTGGTGACTAATAATATTAGTAACACCTAATGCTTGGTCAACTTTTGTTCTTCCAAGTGTTAAAGGATGTACTTAGTCATCTAGATAGCCCAAGGCCAAGGGGTCACCAATGTGCAGTGAGCAAAGAACAAGGAAAAGGTGATGCAGTACATTGAATATTGAAAGCCTGGATCCAAACACCTGAAAATGAAATTGGGAAGAGGAAGGCAATTGTAGCACTGTGCCTACTCCTGTTGAAATATATATAAATAATGTCAGTTTTAAAAAGCTGGAGAAACACAAATCCATAGCAGTTGATAATGTATGTTATACATTCAGTTAAAATCAGTGGTAATTTAACAACCGGTTCTCTACCCTAATGATTTCTTCCAACAACTAATTTGCCAAACTGTTCAGAAAGTTAACAACCGGTTCTCCCGAAGTGGTGCGAACTGGCTGAATCCCACCACTGATTAAAATATATTATTTTACAGCCCAAGGCACCATACACAAATACTTTAGACATCTTATAAAGTACATCCTACTTCATATCTCTTTTGAAGAATGTTTCAAAGATAGACTCCCATATTTTGTTAATGTTCTCTTTCATTACCTGTTTTACATTATGTTTGAACTTTTACAAATATCTAAATATATGGGCATCTATGTTAGTGCTGAACATTCTTTTTTCACATTTATATTTAATTCAGTTAAAATTCAAAATTCAACAAGCAAGACTGCAATATTTTCACCTGCATTATAAGACAATTTCAGAATTTTAAAAAAGCAGATATACTGTATATATATGAACTGCAGCCAGAAAGGATTACTTTATTTCTTCTTTGTACATGCTAGAGACACAAGTATGCCCAAAAGATAAATGCATTATTTAATAGAATTGAAGTCAACAATTCTGATGTAGGGTTGCAGTTTTTTTTACTTTGTCATCTCAGAAATGAAGAAGAAAAATAATTATATTTTCTAATCATTTCCCTACCACTCCCTTAATCTGGTTCTGTGTCTGCCATTTCTCTAGGTTGCATCCTAGACTGTGTTTATTTGTCCAATAATTTCAAAGTCAATTACTCTATTCCAAAAGTGCCTTTTAGATGATTCCAACAGTTTTTCCTGGAAAATTCTTTGATTATATTCATGGTCTATCTTTCCCAACACCTCAGTTATTTTGGCAGTCAGAAGGCAGTACTAGAAAACATTTCTCTCTATTTCCTGTAAACAAGTCACGACGGATTTTTCTTTCAAATAGAGGTATTTTTTCCCCTTAAAATGGAATGTATTGCTATACTTGAATCAAGTATAAGGCTGGAAGTTCACTATTTATCAACCTGGACTAGGAGTTCAAGTTTCTACCATAAAATATCACAGTCACATGTCAGTATGAAATGATAAGGTCATGAGCTACTGGAGTTTTGTATCCAGAAGAGGCTTCAAGTGATGTACTAATCAAATCCTTCGTGGTCATGGCTTCTAACTGCTGTTGCAGCAGTAGCCACAAGTCAAGAGTGGGTCCCAAGTTGCAGACTTGATCCTACAAGATAGTAAAACCCTCTCTAGAGCTAAAGAGGGAAGAGTTCTGGAGCCCGAGGATTCTGTTTTAGTGACAGAATTGGGACAAACTGAGATGAGGCAGATTAAACATAGACTAGACCAGTGATGGCTAACCTTTTCCGGACCGAGTGCCTAAAGCGCATGAGCCCAAACCCTCAAAATGCAATGTGCGCCTGGCCCCCATGCATTTACCCCACCCCATGCATGCGCCCCACCCCTGTGCATGCACATGCCCCCGCACATGCCCCCCCTGCATGTGAGCCATCGCCCCAGTTCAGCTCCGCCACACATGCATACACACACACCTCTGGCCATCTGGTCTTTGGGTCTCTGCCTTGCATGTGCATGCCCCCCCCACATGCCCCACCTCCTGCGCATGTGTGCGCACCCTCCCGCACACCCACACGTGCACATGCGTCTGCGCCCCCGCACATGCATGCACGGCAGAAACCCAAGGACCAGCTGGCCAGTGGGAGGCATGCATGCCTGCACGGCAGAGCTGAACTGGGGCAATGGCTTGCATGCCCACAGAGAGGGCGCTGTGTGCCACCTCTGGCACCCGTGCCATAGGTTCGCCATCACAGGACTAGACTTTATTCATTAACAAGCAACTGCTATAATGGCTATAACTGAACTAACTGAACGTTCCATCTGACAACTCCTTTTATATGTGAGCTGTCAGACGTCTCAACCAATCAGCACTCGTCTTTTTCCACTCATGCAGCAAGGCCAGCTTGTAACCTTAAAACACTACACCGAGGTTTTCTAAACAAACAGTAACCTGCTGGGATTTATTTAGGCCTGTACCATCCTATCTAACCTCCCACAAAGTTCAGGCACAACATAGTGACTCCTGCTTGGCCTGAGGTGGAGATATAAAACTGAGTATCAGCAGCATGTTGGCAGCCCAAATCAATGAATGATTTCTCCTAATGTAAAAAAAAAAAAAGACAAGAAAGGGCCATGAAAAAGACTGAATAAGCCCTCTGTAAATGTTGCTCTACACCTTCTTAATCCCCTCTAAAAAGGAAATTTAGTATCTTACTTTGATAGAAAGTAAGGATGAAGTAAAGACCTAATAAATAATAAATACATGTACTTATGCCTCCTTCATATCCCAGAGTTTGACTCCCCCCTCCCCCCATGACTAAACTGCCTGCTTGATTATTGGGAAAGGATCCATAAGGAAGTTGGGGCAGGTCCTCTTGCTTGTTACCTTCTCTTAGCAGAAATTTATTTATTTATTTATTTATTTATTAAATTTCTATACCGCCTTTCTCCCGTAGGACTCAAGGCGGTGTACAGTCAAGAAAAATATAGACACACAAACATCATAAAATTGCTAATTAAAATTGTTACTTAGTTTGGTCAATTAAATAAAACCCAGAATTAGATAACATTTAAAAAATCATTCGCATGTTTGTATGTTTAGCCCTGCCTGTTGGAACATCAGGGTCTTGAGGGCATGGCGGAAAGCACGGAGATCAGGGATATTCCGTATCTCCGGGGGCAGTTCATTCCAAAGGGTTGGAGCCCCCACAGAGAAGGCCCTCCCCCTGGGAGTCGCCAGTTGACATAATTTGACTGACGGTACCCTGAGTAGTCCCTCCCTGTGAGAACGAACTGGTCGGTGGGAGGCTATTGGTGGCAAAAGATGGTCTCGTAGGTTAAATTAATGGTGCCATAGTAACCACAGAATAATCAGCATGACAAAAATATTGTTGTTGTCCATATCCAGAACACATTCTCACTGTTCCAAAGCTGGAGCCCAAGAGTGACTCCCTATGTATGCTGAGCCCATAATGATTTGGAATAAACTCATAGTTATCATGAAACTATGAAAATCCAAGCAAATCCTGAACTCATCCCCTAGACAGAGTAAAATCCAAAATACATAAGATGAGGTTGAATACCCTGGACTGGAAGGTTTAAGGATGGCAAAAAGGGTGATATATCATATTTTTACTTGGTGCATATAGGAATCCATATCCAGCAATCTGTGTAGCAGGGCAATTGACCAATATAAATTTCAGTTAAGTGCTTACTTAAAAGCACCTAGATTTGGCACCAATATAAAGGAAAATAATAAGTGGAGTATTCTAAAGATTTTGTTTCATTTGGTAGAAAGAATAGAATAATCACAATGGTTTGCAATTTAAAAGCATGATGCCAGAGAGAAAGGAATGAAAAGAAACTCCTTGCTCATTCATAGATGAGAGAGAGTGAGAGAGATAGGAGATAGATAATAGACAGACAGACAGACAGACAGACAGATACACAGTCCGGTCATCATAACTATATGATGAACAGAAGGAAATGGCAGGAAATTGTCCTGAAGGGAGAGAAGCCAGATATCTGCTGTTCCCAGTAAGGTTGTTAGACTGTACTAATGTATTTCACCATCTGATGAAATCAGCTGGAACTTAGACCATTGCAAAAGTTCAAAGCAGACCTAAGAGGCTGGAAAAACCAATCACAGCCAACAAAAGCAATACATTCAAAGCAAAGAATCCATTATAGAACTTTCCTAGTGTTTCAGCTAATTTATTCCTTTGATAATGATTGAGCTAGCTCACATGTTTTTGGGGGCTCTTAAAAGATCACCCAAATTTCATGCCCTTTCATATAACATTTTTTAAAATTCCTCTTTATAGTTGGAATTCACGATCTCATCAATTGATAAACATGTCATGAATGTAACAGTACTGTTTGCCAATGTAACACCATAATTTGGCTATGTGCTGGTATTGTGTAACTAAAGGGAATGTTTTCCACCCTAATCAAGACAGGAAAATATGTTAATCTCTTGATGCCGTTTATGTCCCTTGGAATATGGACAGAATCTAGAGAGGGACATTCAATAGTAATAGCAAGAAGAAACCAGTGGTGGGTTGCCCCCGGTTCGGACCGGTTCTATAGAACTGGTAGTAAAACCAGTGGGAGGGTCCACCCACCGACCCTGACATCATTAGAATGCTTCTGCGCGAGCGAAGCAAGCATGAGCGGCCCCGTTGCGAACTGGTAGTAAAGGTAGGTAGAACTGGTAGTAAAGGTAGGTGAACGGCCCCGTTGCGAACTGGTAGTAAAGGTAGGTACCTACCCTGGAAGAAACACTCTTAAGAAGTTCTCAAGTCATTACAGTTAGTCCTCATTTCACAACTGCCTCATTGAGCAACCATTCACGGTTATTACAGTGATGAAAAAATGATTTTGCAGGCTTGTAATGAGAAAAAAAAAAGCTGAAATAAGGTAAGCACAGTCACAATTTCACTTAGTCACCATATCACTTAATGACCAAGTTGTCAGTTCCAATTTTGGTTACTAAATGAGGATTACCTGCATTGAAAGGAAATCATAAACTACTTTTCTCAACTCCACTTGTAATGTTAACTTCCCCCTTCTTTTCCCAAATTATCCTTACCCTTTAGTAGAGGTTTGGAGGGGGATGGTCACCGGTATTTCTTCTGGGTATCCTGTAGGAATTCCGGACAGCAGTTTCTAAGAGAAGCCAATCCCATTGTAACCTACCTAAGCATTGGCCTTCTAAAAGCCAGTATCCTTCAGTGCAGGAACAAGTGTATCCTCCTTCAGTGTTGATGCAGATTTGGGTAGGGTTGCACTGATGTGATTCAGTTGCACATTCATCGACATCTGCAATGCAAGGAATAATTTAGGATTACTTTATTATTCAGAAGGAAAGCCACATTTATTTTAAGTTCTGGGTCCCATCCCTATGATACAGCATAAAAAGATTCATGTAACTAAATAAATTAAAAGGAATGCCAAAATAAAGTTGGAGTTGCTTTCAGAATGCCTCTGAGGCATTGGAGATAATTCACTCTGCGCCAAGATCTGAATGAATCAAAATCATTGACAGTACTCCACCCACCAGATCCTCTGTCTCTTATCAAGTTAATTCAATGTCAGGGGGTGTTCGTAATTTCTTGTGTTACATTGACTGGTCCAATTCCTGGAAAACAACATTTCTGAATTCATACCAACTCAGCATCCAGCATCCTGTTTCTGTCCTTGTTTCATTACATTTCTTTTTACAGGGAAGAAAACCCAAGGGATGGTAAGAGCTGCTGCAAAATCATTCTTCAGCATTATTTAGGAAACTGAGTGTAGTAGTACTGTGGTTTAGCAGTTGCAAAGAAAAGAAAGTCAATGAGATAGAGTTTAGGGAGAATCCTCATCAGTGGGGAAAAATTGGTGATGATGATAAAAATGTATAGGCTGCCCATCTTATATATATATATGACTCTTGGCGGCTCACAATTAAAACAGAATATAAACAGTGAAACACAACCAAAATAACCAAAGCAAAAACAACATAAAAATAACAGCTGAGAAAACTCACAACCGATGATACGGGATCATGCATACCATCAGGTTTAATGACAAAGCCAGGTTTTTATGTCCTGCAAAAGGGCAGCATGGTTGGGGCAAGTCTAATTAGGAGAGAGATGTTGTTCCAGAGGATGTGAGTCATAGCACATCCTCCCTCCTGGATGCTGACAGGTGACATCTTTTCATAGACAGGACACAAAGCATGCCTCTCTTGCCATATCTCACAGGATGGATAGACAGCACTGGGAAGAAATGGTCTCATACGTACCATAACTGATGGTGGGACAAAGTTCCACTAGGAACTCCTTCCCTGACTTGGTGCCAATCTTACACAGCTCTATTTATCCAAATTTTTGGTGCTGCTTCTGCTGCAGTGACAATTTTATGCTAAGACTTGACTGGCTTATTACTACCCTGGGCAATTATGATTATTATTACCATTAATTTCAGCCATGTGATAGTAGATAGTGCAGTACCTGGAGACTGAATAGAAGAAAAAATGGACCAAATACAAAGACCTGCAAATAGAAATACCGTGTTTCTCCTAAAACATGACCCAGTCCAAAAAGAAGACCCAACACTGTTTTGTGCGCATGTGTTAAAATTAAGCCCTACCCCCAAAATTTGGCCATTTTCTCACATCTCTTGCAATGCAGACAACACGAGGTGAGAAGGCAAGGGGGTAAGGGTGGGGGGGAACTTGCCCCACTCACCCCACCCACCTCGCCTGTCCACCGGACTGCTTCTTTCACCGCTGAAAGGAGTAACCCACGCGCCCCACACACCTGACCTGGCCACCGGGCTGCTTCTTTCATGGCCGAAAGGAGTGATCTATGTGCCTGGCCTGGCCACCAGGCCACTTCTTTCAAGGCCAAAAGAATGATTCACTCATGCGCCAAATGTTCCACATAGCAACAAAAATTTGGGGCTCAATTGTGATCGTAAGTCGAGGACTACCTCTATTAGTGAGAGTCACCCTTCAGAACCAGAAACTGAGCTCATCTCTGTCTTCTGTAGCCAATATTTAACTTGAGGTCAAATTAGAACAGGGGATTGAGATGAAATAAAAAATATAATAGGAAAAAAGCAAACACAACTGTTCTAGAAAAGACAGTAATATGTATACTTATTGACTATAGGAAGCTAGATATACAAAACCCAAACAATATCAAATCAAACAAAACTGAGAGAGAAAAAGAGAGAAATCACATACACAAGTGTTCCAAGGACATTCTTTGGCATCTTTTTGTTCTTTGAAAAACTATTAGCAAAGTAAATGGACCAGAGAGTATTATGCAAACACAACTTCCCCATTCAATTGCTTAGTTTAATGCAACCGATCAGTCTGCTGCCAGGACCTTGAACTGGGAACATCCCTGAAATATGCAACCAAATACGGTTTATCAACTTTTTCACTTCGTCTTTTATAAAAAAATGTCTGATTGGCCAAATTAGAAAGTAATGACCATGTGTGACCCAGAAGCAGATCGTCTGCAATGCTAATACTGCATTAATATGAAAGAACAGCAACATTAATTATATGTAAACTTCACCCAAATGGTTTTTTTGTACTTACTAAGCATCCCTTTATTTACTTTAATCTCCTTTATTTTAAGTCCTTATTAGAATCTGACATGGAACTCTGAGAATGTTGGTCTTGAACAAAATTTGGCAGAATATGAAAAATATTTAAAATAGATTAAATCTTTTCTTTTTAGACACTGCTCTTCTATATCATCAGCTTCATATAATTATGTCTATCCTAACATTGTATAATTTTCTCTGAGCTACAGAAACACATTGTATGATTTTGTGTTTGCATCCAATGATCTATTTGAAAAGGTTTGCTCATATGAGAGAAAAACATAATTTAAACATTTGGAAATTACATAATTACAAAATTAATGGCAAGTTACTCTAAAGTTCCAGAGTAAAGTACTTAAGACATTATATGTAAATACAAGCCTTTGATAACATCCAGCAGGACTTATTCCATTTGTGTTGCTATCTTTCCTAAAGATGCTTGGATTAATCATTAGTAGAAATGAGGTGAAATGCCAGTTCATAGACTGAATGAGGGGAAATGCCAGTTCATGATTCAGATAGCCAATCACATAACCCGAAATCAGACCAGGACTCAGAAAACTATTTAAAGGTCAGTGCTCCCCCAGATAAGCACAATCCAAAGCGCACCAAATCGCCAAGCTCAGCACTCAAACCAACAACAGTTCATAGATTTTCCAAATTGTAATCACTTAACATTCCATTAATTTGTGAATTACTAATGGTACAATTACTAATGGTACAATTGCTGGAGTCTGGAGTCCCCAACCCCTGGACCGCAGCTCAGTACTGGCCCGCAGCCCGTTCAGAGCCAGGCTGCGGAAGCAGTGGGTGAGCAAGTGTGCATATGCGCAGCTCCACTTGCAATCTGTGAGCATGCACGTACAAAGTTCCATTTGTACAAGCAATGGACACATATGCCCGCTGCATGCACAATTGGAGCAACGCACGTGCACTTGCTCACCGCTTACACGAAACCATCCCTTCTACTGCTGTCAGTCAGCAAAGCCAGAAAGGTTGGAGATTGCTACTCTAAGTCATGAAAATGTTTGGTGCAAGCCCTTTAAACAGTCAAGAATATATTGAATGTAGTTGAGAATCTTCACAAATTATTCCTACTGCTCCTGAAATGATTTGCCTATCTTATAGTATAGCATTCTGTATAGGTAGTCATCACTTAACGACCAACTCAAAAAAAGCTACTTATGATCTGGATTCAAAGTTGGGATATTCCTCCACCCCCACCCAGATGACATGATCACATTTTGGGCACTCATTAACCAGACCGTTTGTAGCATTCTCTAGTCATATGATTATCATAATACAATTTATAATTGTTTTGCCAGAAACCACCATTTACTTCAAATTTCCAGCAAAAAAAATCCCCATTGCAAATAATGGCCCACTTAACGATCACAGCATTCACTTTACAACTTTGGCTTTTGTTTTATGACTTCCACATTTGCTTAACAATCCCCATTAAAAAAAGGTTGTAAAATCAGATTGGTTATGTGATGACTTGCTTAATGACTGTCCCACGTAAGTCAAAGTCTGCCTGTAGATTTTTAAGGCTGTGTTTCTACACATACTTTGTGTTTAAATGCTTAGATTCCTGACATTTGGGAATTAGTTATACAAAGAAATCCAAATACATTAATCCTTTGCCAGAACTGTTCATAAAGCAAACAATCAGCAGGATACCCATGAAAAATGGCTGTATATGTATAAAAAATATCTAAAATCCTTAAAAAGACAGTAATTTTCAAGTTCAACTAAAGATGTAAAAATATGTAAAACACCCCCTTTAAAGCACTTTTAAGTCTTTCAAAGCCTGCATTAGGCATTATAATGTAAAGATGGTCTACTTAATATGGATTTGGGAATTTTTCTTAAGGCCAAGCTAGCAACCTTTGCTTTTCATTCATATTCATTTAATTTATTCCATTTAGGCACCACCTAACTCTGAATTGGCGCTGGGTGGTATACAATGCAATCAGTCTGAATAAAAATATAATACAGCAAAAAAATTTAAAATCCTTTTCTTCCTATGAGTGTCTATGGAGATTCTCAGTCATCCAGATCATGTTTGTCCCAAAGGTGCTTTTTCAAGAAGCACCTGGACTTTCTGGTTTTTCTTTGAAAACGTCTCACTTCTCATCCAAGAAGCTTCTTGGTTGAGAAGTGAATTGTCTTCAAAATAACCCAGAAACTCCAGTTGCTTCTTGAAAAAGTACCTTTGGGACTTCCTATGAGTGGTATGTGTCTTCCACAATCTCAGATCTACCATCAGAGGCTGCGACATTGAAGGTTCTGTTCAGCATTTTATTTATTTATTTATTTATTTATTTATTTATTTATTTATTTATTTCTGATTAAAAATACAAACCAATTAAAACATTTAAAATTTCTTCTTAAGCCAGCCCGGCTTGCTGGAAAAAGTGAGTTTTAAGGGCACGGCGGAAGGCACTGAGGTCTTGGATTCTCCTTATCTCTGGAGGCAACTAATTCCAGAGGGTAGGTGCCCCCACAGAGAAGGCACTCCCCCTGGGGGTCACCAGCCTACATTGATTGGCTGATGGCACCCTGAGGAGGCCCTCTCTGTGGGAGCGCACGGGTCGATGGGAGGTCGTCGGTAGCAGCAGGCGGTCTCAAAGATAGCTAGGCCCTATGCCATGGAGCGCTTTAAAGGTGATGATCAACACCTTAAAGTGCACCCGGAAGACCACCGGGAGCCAGTG